CATATATGTATAATATATATATATATATATATATATATATATATATATATATATATATATATATATATATATATATATACATATATATATACATATATGCATAACATATATATATACATATATATATACATATATATATACATATATGCATAACATATATATATATATATACATATATATATATATATATATATATATATATATATATATATATTTGTCACACGCACACACGCACGCCCGCACGCCCGCATGCTCGCACGCCTGCACACACACACACACACACACACACACACACACACACACACACACACACACACACACACACACACTCACTCACTCACTCACACTCACACACACACACACACACACACACACACACACACACACACACACACACACACACACACACACACACACACACACACACACACACACACACACACTCACTCACATGGCTGACACCCTTCACCCTAATTAAATTTAATGTATTGAGTTAGCCATCATCTGGGGGTTCCCTGGGCAGGTGCCCCAAGTTTCAGTATTTGGCTAATCTCCAGGAAATTTCACATCTGTGTGGGTCTGGATAGCTTCGCACTGGTCTTTCTCTCGTCTGCATCCCTGAACCATAATCATTAAGCATATCAGTGATAGACCATAATTCAGTGGGTAATGGGCATTATGAAATTTATCTGAGAACTGTTACTTTGTTCTACACCTCTGGAACAACCAGTATATAGCAGTGTTTGTATCCAAGCCGGGAAGCAAATATAAACATTTTATGCATGGATTCTCTTCCCTCTGTGGGCTTTACTGTAGCTGCATGAAGTTAACTTGATTGATATTTCCAATAAGCTATCATTCCTGGTCTCTTTACACTAGACCTCTCAGACAAAGAAAGGAGCATCTTCCATCCACATCACACCTTTTTTTTAGGTTTATCCTTTTTTCAAATTCAGTAACATCCCTCTACTTTATTCAAATTCTTCTTGTCACGCTCCTTCACATTCACTTACTCTTTTTCTCCAATCCAGTCCAGTCCAGTCTGCTGCTGTGAGGATTTTATCATAGCCAGTCCAGTCGTCCAGTGAATTTTTACCTGATCTCAATCTAACTCGCACCTATTTATGGTCAATTCCCACTTTCTATTTTTCAATAAAGGTTAAAAAAAAAAGTCTCAACATAATAGTCAATATCCTCTTTATTTTTCATTTTCAGTACTGTGAACCATTTTCCAAAAAATATTCAGTTGCAGAAAATGGTCTTTAGAAGTTCCCACAGTAAAATCTCTCAATATCAAAAAGTGTTCCTTCTATAATATTCTCACTTCCTTTCACTGCCTTGCTTTGTACTTCTATGTTGAAATTAAAAGATTATTAAAACAGACATTTCCTCTATCTGGAATTAATGTGACAACACAAAATGTTCACACGCCAAAAACACAAGAGCAACTTCTTTTAGGACAACTTTAATTATCATCCACTGTACCCATCTCTTCAAAACATGGTATGCTGACCAACAATGAAAAGAAGGAGCTTATATCAAAATAAATATTTGTATCAACCTTCTCATTTTTAAAGTCTAATGACTCATATGCTACTTGTACCAATCATTTCAAATCATGTCTGTGTCCCATTGCTATAGTTGTCATGGACCACTATGTTATATTAATTTATCAAGGCTTAATCATATATTGCATAACCCTTGTAATTTACAAGTACTGTCACGTACTGTTTCTTGTAATCATGGGACGATTGTAATAAGCATTAATCAAAGAAAGAGCCCAAAGAACACAGTGATGAAGATAATTACAACATATAGGATTAAAATAATTGCACTAAAAATTACAATCTGTAAATCTGTGAAGCCGTTAAACCACTCACTCCAGGGTGATGTCCTATCATGTCATGGCTGACTATCCCTCACATTAGGATGACATCCCATCACTTTATACGAGGTCTAGCCTGCTCTAAATTGTGCAGACTAAAAAGTTATTTGCTTACTTGGCCCTTGCCGCTGTCACTAAGGAACTTTAGCCCTTCAAAAGTAGGTTCAAAGCCATTTTTAGCCCCATTATCTAAACTATTGTCTATGCTGAAGACAAAAGTGTAGACAGCAAGGTAAATTCATGTTTTCCACACTTCTAATTTTAGCTAGCTGACTCCATGTGCACATTCACACAAGTATGGTGCTCAGAACTCATGACTCAAGTGGGTTAACCTGCTGCCACTGGGAACATATAATGTCCATTTTTCTTTGGTTTGTGAATCAATGCGTACACATAGATCGCTTCCAAGTTCTTAGCCACCAAGGAGTCAATTAGCAGACACAAATGACCTTACCTGATTTCCCATTTCCTTGAGTTTTTGTGAATAACATACTTTTTTTTAAGGTTACTAATATCAATACTATTATTATTATTATTATTATTATTATTATTATTATTATTATCATTATTATGATTATCATAATGTCATTATTAATACTAACAGTAATAAAAAAATATGTCTTTCTGAAAATCAAGGAAAAGAATAAACAGGTGAGATGGGTTGGACTAGAACTCGAATCCTTCTTGACTAAGTACTCATGGAGTCGTCTATCTGTAACCACAATAAATAAAGGACAACCACAATGTACATGGCAGCAATGGGTTAATCTGGTCAAGTCATATTCACATAGAATCACAAACTTTTTTTCAACCTTATCATATCTCTATATCACACTTAAGTCTAGGAATGATTTTCTCTCCTTGTATGAATAACTAAAATGAAGCAGAAATTCAAGAAAACTTACACAGGCTATGGTTATGAATAAGTATATCAAAAAATTATAATTTTAATAACTTCTGATTGTAACTGAAACCTTTACTTTCACTTACACCCAGAAGTGTGTTAAAGGGAAAGAATCACAGACATGTTGCATGCTGGATTCAGGTAAAACTGATGAGTTAATGGATCAAGAAATGTCTAAATATTTTAATATATTTTAAATACAAACTGCGATACACAGATAGACTACAATCATTTATTAACTTTATATCATCTGTAATAAAGATATATGTTCTAATTTGTTTACCATCCCTATCTGTTTTCATAAATGCAGTATATATCACTCTAATAAACACAAATGAATGTATAAACAAAGGAATACTATAATACCGTAAACACGTAACAATATAAAAATACACTGTATAAAATCTGGAAATGAACAGCACCATTACTCTAGTACCACTACAAAAAATATCAAATAATATTATCTATATACTCCATAATACTACTTGTATTACTACAACTAGACATACATCTACCAAATAATTTGGACTGAATTTGTGTTCATTAGCATGTAATGTAATATTTCTATTAAATTTTCTTTATTGTTTAAACAATGATATATCAAATTTGGAAAGAAAGTACCACATTTGCCAGCATAAGTACTGCACTTTTTCAAGAAGAAAGATACAGATCATGTGTAGAAATGGTTAAGAGGAGACTAGGCATTTAACATCTGGTTAGCAGGTGGACTTGTGATGATATTTATCCTATGAATGCAAATATTTGCTTTGTCTTGATAATAAATGTTATGAATAAAATAATAAAATACAATCTTTATCATGCAAATTTGTGTTTTTTGAAGATGTTAAATAATGTCTATATCTGTAAATGTAGCCTGAAGTTTTGAACATTTTCAATACAATTCTTTTCCCACATAAACAAAGCCTAGACAAATCATTAATAATTTTTTGTTATTACTTCTCCTAAAATTCCAGAATAAGAAATGTATCAAAAGAGAGCTGAAAAAAAAACAAATACCAGTTACCTCTTCCTAGTTGACTGCATCACATAACATCACAGTAGATACACAAATATGGATCTTATTCTTTATTCATGACCAAAACAAATAACATACTTTACTCCTCTCTAGTCAGGGGTGAAGTTCAAAACTGAACAGCATTGTAACCTTCTTTCCATTAACAATTTATGATGACTTATTACTGCCTGACTAGAGTTTCAAGATGTTCACAATTATTTTCTGCTTCTCAATTTCAGCTTTTTTCTTCTTTTTATTTCCTATAACTACTATTATTTCAATCATTATCATTATCATTATTATTAACATTATTATCATTATTTTTTTTTTATTTTTACTACAATGATCATACTTCATTTGCATAGACTGGAGAACAGAACTGAATGGAAGTATACAGTATTTTTACCAGAAAACATTTAAAATAGTTTCAAAACATTTATAATGAGATGCAATATACATCTTTCTATTGTTATTAATTTACTTATGCATTAGTATATAATTATCTTTCTTCTTGCTGGCAAATACAGTAGATTCACCTCCACTCTATTTTTTTACCTTGTAACACAGACTGGAAGAAAAAGGTTTTATAATGAATCATACAGAAAATCTTGTCAAGAAAACCATTTAAGCTGTAACTCATCATGTCTTAACTTCTGAAAAAAATAATAGCATTCTTAGAGAAATCTAAGATCATAACAACCTAAATACCATCATCTATTGTCTATGCCATTCTGTAGGCTAAATAAAGTACACACAAGCACCTTGGTCTATAAATAACCTCCGTGAACAGATCATATTCTTTTTTTCATATCAATAGATCTAAAAATACAAAAAATATGCAATAAACCAAGCCTAAATACTGACCCACAATGCTGACTGACAAATACAGCCTTGAAATCAAAGATATCATGACGTGTACATTAGTATGTACTAAATCAACGGTTCCCTGGAATGAAATAATTGTATATAATAAATATGACATGAATTTCTTTAATGACCTTCAAGAAGAATTTTTTTTTCATATCAGTCTCATTGGTTTGTTATGCCTCATAAATAACATCAATAACTTCCTAAAACATCAGAGGAGAAGATACATAATAACGAAAACAATATAAAATATGATAAAATAGTATGCTATATCTGGGAGGTCAGGAAATGAGATCTTGGAGGGAATCCTCCTAAAAATAAGTTGATCA